GTGGTGAAACCTCTGGTCCCGTGAAGGTTAACGGCTGCCACTCTAAACTGGTACCAGCGACCGGGCCGGATGTCTGACAGCCTCGCTCTCTGCTCCGTCGTCTGTTTGGGAGAAAACAGCGTGTTTGGTCAGTGTTTAGGTTTCTGTCTTGGCGATGACGATTTTTAACGTCTAAGAAAATAAGTTGATAGATTTTTAAGCATGTCACAATTCATTGTTGAGTTAAGAGGAATTTACCAAAATGTCTTATGACCCGTAAAACGTTTGCAGAATATTTGAACATGCAGTGATGAATTTTAGCGGATACAGGTACAGATGCAGGCTTGTCTTTCAGATTTCCACCTCGGACACTTAACCTCACATCAATGCACAGCTGCTAGAAACTGCAGATGAAGTTATTAAACTACAAGCAAAATAATAATCTCATGTCTAACAAAGTTAAAAGTCTGAAAATTTGAAATAAATGTGATAAAATGTGTTGTTGCTGTGCCCGCCGTACATGTGGAAACTGTAACATCTACTTTTACCAGCAGCACTTTATGAAGTTCATGCCGAGCTGAGTTCAGCTTATTATTCGCCTCCACAACAGTCCCAGTGCATCATGTGACGCCTGTGTTGCAGTGCTGCCGCCATCAACAAAGCAAAAACAGAAACAGCAGAGCTGTTCTGTCAGCACTTGGAGACCCAGCACCGTACAAAGAGACTTTATTTAGGCTTTTTTTCCTTTAATTTGTCACGTCTCAGTAACAGTCTATATTGGAGGCAGTTAACTAACCTGTGCAGCCACCTGCCACGACGTGGCCGTGTCCTCGCTCGGCTGGATGCCAAAGTTCCATCTCCTCTGCAGAACGTAGACGACAGGCTCGGCCGAGATGTTGAAGCGCGATGACCAGTGCACCTCCAGCTGGCCAGAAGACACTTCTTCAAAGGCTAGCTCCTTCCTTGGCTTCAGAGGAGCACCTGGACAGACAAAACATCCACCAAAGGTGAAACAGAGTACAACTGAAGGGACAGTGCTGTCCATCATCTGCTGTAGCTCCGCAGTGGGGCTCCTAGTCAGCACCCACCAATGCTGCAGGGATCTGCAGATTTACTCAGGGAGAATTTCCACTTCATTTGTTTGAGTAAAGGCCCAGGGGGGCATTTTTTAGGTTATCAGGACTGATAACATTAGAGTGCGTGTGCCTGCATGGGTTCTCTCTGGATACTCGGGCTTCCTCTATGTCATCAAGTGTGACTCATTTGTGACCAGTCCAGGCTGTAGCCTCTCACCCTGCGACAGCCGGGATGAGCTCTAGCTGAACTGGATAAGTGGGAGAAATGGACGCATGGAGCTTCTTTATTATTTCCTACAGTCAAATCGTTAAACACAGTTATAGTCAGGGGTGCACATAAGTGGTCCGCAGGTGCGAATGTCAAAATAAAAGACGCGCACCAGATAAGAAGTCGCAGCGCGCGTTTGCGCACATATAAAAGGCATGTTTCTGTCCACTAGAGTGGGATTTTCACAGCACATTCTGCACCACATCTCTGTGCGTTCATCGTTTGTTTGAAGCCAGCTCACCTCCTGCAGCCACTTGTCCGAGAATACGCGCTTCTTTTGTGGTTCGGACTCCTGACATTTCTTCAGAGGTGGAGGAACACCTGCTTAAAGGAGCTTCTTCGACATCTTTAAGAGTTCTAAACAAATGTCTGTCCTCCTCCACAAAATCTAATGCACGCAAACGCGTGTTGCAACTTCTTATCTGGTGCGCGTCTTTTATTTTGACAGCGAATGTTCACCTGCTTATGTGCAGCCCTGGTTGTAGTGATGTGATTCTGGCTCAACATACCCTTGTAGATGTCACTGGGAGTCTGGCAGGTGTGGCCACAGCTGTTAGAGCAGCATTTCTTCTGAGCAGAGCATTCTTTGTCGTGGTCACAGCTTTCCACACAGGCAGCAGCAAAACCACTGGCTCTCTGTGGAGGTGGACAGCTGCCCTGCTTCACCATCAGCACAGAGTGCAGGAACTCACAACTGGTCACACACTCCCAGTGCTTTCTGGGAAACACCCGCTGGATGAATCAAAGGCAAAGTAGTTAGCACAGGTTAACTACTGTTACAGCTACTTCCTGCTCTTTGCTTAGAACATGGTGTAATTCTCACACTTGACATACGACAGTGAAACAATGAATAAACTGTGAAATATGATAATGTCAGGTTTGCATCAATAAGTAGCATCTAGACAAGAAGATTAAGAAAAGCGAGACAAAAAGAACAGCACTGAATATGAATAATATTTCCAGGAACAGGCGGATTCTCCAGGTCTTTACTGGGACTGAGAGTTTAACAGACTCTCCACCTTTATTTCAAACTGTGATTGCACAAACAACCCTCGGCTGTTTTTGTACTGTACTCAGAAAGCATACAGTACGACTGACTCTATGCTGCACCATACCTCACATAACTCTCTGCAGTTGCCTTTCCCCTTCATCTCCCAGGAGTCTCTGCAGGGCTCCAGGCACTGTGGAAGTCAAAGCAGTGTGAGCACGCTTAAGGTTTATGGTCAGAGATGAAGAAATACATTTGGAGGTTATACACAGTGAAGTGTTCATGTTTTGCTGAACACAAGAGTGTGAGACAGTTTAATGTCTCTGTGAAACTGCAGATTACAGCCTGTCACATCTCGCTTTAGTTAAGTATAAATAATTGTAAAAATTATACAAACAAATGCAACGACGCACAAAAAACATGTACAGGGATCCGCAAGCAGGCAGGTGTGTGTGTGTGTGTGTGTGTGTGTGTGTGTGTGTGTGTGTGTGTGTGTGTGTGTGT